GACTATGATTGGGAGGGAAGAGCGAAGACTCTACTCAACTACATCGATGGTACTCACTCGGACTACGAGCAACGCTGGATGGATGTCGATGTCTTTTATCTACCGTACAATATCGGTGGAGTGCACTGGGTAATGATATGCATCGACTTCGACAAGGGTGAGGTCATCGTGTGGGACTTCTTTATGTCCTTGACACCACTTTCTAAGTTGGAAGAGGTCCTGAAACCGATGATAACTATTATCCCGACACTAATCTGCAGGGTCAGTGTTCAGCTAAACAAGCCGAATATACCACTCACACCATGGCGCATCCGTAGAGTCGTATCAGCACCCCAATAGGAAGGCGGCGGTGATTGTGGTATATTTTGTGTTAAATTTTTTGAGTATGATGCGACTGCCTCTAGCTTTGATACCTTAACATAGTATAGGATGTCATTCTTTCGGCGGCAATTTGTCGTTCAGCTTTGGGCGAACAAATGTATCGTATGAATAGTACATTTGTAATAGTTAAATACTATTTTTGTATATTTCAACGTTGTTATTCTTTGAATCGTATACAGTTGAATGCATTTTTTAAATATGTGAATGCTGTTCATATACTGGATTTGGAACTGTTAAGATAAAAACAGGCACAGGTGATGACAAACAACTTGAGTAAAAAGTTATTCAAAAAATGCAAGATCCACGGCCGAAATATTCATAATTCACGGACATGGTGTCAATAATTCAAGGCGGTGATGAGGAAATTCACGGCCGTGTTGGATAGAATTGAAGGCCGTGGTTGAGATAATTCATGGCCTTTTTCGAGAATTCATGGCCGTGGTTTCGAAATTAAAGGTCGTGGTTCATAAATTAAAGGTCGTGGTGTTGGGAATTCATATACGTGGTTCAGAAATTGAAGGCCGTGGTTTTGAAATTAAAGGTCGTGGTGTTGAGAATTAATGTGCGTGGTTCAGAAATTGAAGGTCGTGGTTTTGAAATTAGTCGTTTATCTGAACCATAACCACGGTCGTGATCAATAAACTCACAGTCGTTAATTGTCCAGAAAAGAGTACAACATTTGTTATTCGTCATAACGTATGAGCGTGTTTCCAAAAATTTCAACCGATTTAGTCTGCTGAGTAATGAAAAATATATCAGTTGGATCTGTTGAATAATAGATAAGAGTACAACATTTGCCAAAATTGGTTAATAGTTCAGTTAATGTTTTACATGTCTCAATCTATAGTTCTAAGTGGTTGGCGGCATGTTTTTTATTATGACCCATGTTGCCACACCGACCGCATTTGTGGACTTGGCGGGTCTCCCCAGCAGATGGAATTCGTACAGTTTGACGTCGACCAACGCGCGAAACATATCTCGACGGCTCCACTATACGGTCGACGAAGTCATCAGGTAATATCCAATTCTCCTCATCGCCGAAAGGGTAAACAGGTTCGACATATGCGTTAATGAGAGTTTGAAGAGTATATGCAGGTGAGCATAGTGTGTACCTGTTCACGTTCCGATAGGTGGCATCTGCAATAGCGTGGGAGCAAGGAAGCTGAAAGTAGTCAAACTCTTTACATCCACAGGTCCTTGCATTTAAATTCACATGCAACCTTTTTAGTCCATCGCTAACGTCTAACTCGTGATGGTCAATGGGTGTGATGGAGTGAGTATGAGAGAAGTTCTCTGCAATACGCATCTTATTCTCACCGTAGTCAGTGAAAATGGTTTCGCAATTGGATGCGTATGTTCGCCTCTCGTAAAACCAGCGTTGTAAGAGTGCACGAGCATGTTCCAGAAGTGACTGGCAGAGAACGTGCATGGATAAGGACTGCATTCATAGACTCCACAATATTAGATGTCATTTGGTCATACCTCAAACCCGATTGAAATGCACGAGTCCATTTTTCAAAACCAATTCCTTCCAAGTATCGCTGGACCTCTGGAAATCCTGCTAGTTGGGAGAAATAGTATCTGAACTCTAATTTCCGGCAAGCCTCTGCCGCTAATATGAACATTTCTTGCAAGGCATCGTCCTTGAACTTGTCCTTCAGGTTCGTAGACAAGTGTTGCATGCATATTCCATGAGCCGCTTATGGAAAGATCTGCCTAACAGATTTTGTAATGCACACATGTCGATCAGATACGAATAATAACCCATCGACCTTTCCAATACACATCTTGACCATGTTCAGAAACCAAGTCCAGGATTGATCACTCTCTTCATCGACAAGTCCAAAGGTAAGAGGATATATTTGATTGTTGCCATCAACAGAAGAAGCAATAAGAATAACACCTCTATATTTACCCTTGAGATGTGCACCATCTATCACCAGTACTGGGTGGATACAACTGGAGAACCCTCTAATACAGCAACCTAGAGCCATGAACGCGTACTTAAAATATTTATCTTTCTCCAGTTCCACTTAAAAAACAATGCCTACATTAACAGCCTTTTATGCTTCACCATATTTGCGTAACAAAGTATATGAATGCTTAGGTGACGCCATAAGCAGATTCAAGGCAACATTCTTCGTTCGCCATGCCTTTTCATATCTAATGTTCACCCTATAGTTCTTTCGCATGTCGTTAATAATGTCTTTAGGTCTGTACTGATGGCTGACATCCTCCAGATTGGACTTCACTAACTGACCAACCACCCAACTCCGAGCTTACCTGTGGTCATGGTTCAGTACTTCACGTTTGCACTTGTGAACATCATTAAACTTCGAAATGATGAATGAGTCACCACCTCGGATACTCTTCGCACGCAAACCCCATTTGCAACCTTGCTTGGTACATCCAACAGTGAACAATGTCTTCGTCGATTTTTTAACCTTAAATTCGAAATTCAACTTCATAGCTAGCACAGACAGCTTGAAGCGTAGTTCTTCCTTCGAACGAAAAATACCCTTAACAGCAATTTCACCTACGTAGTCAGACTCATTGCCAGTTATGATATTCTGCATCTGACGTGAAAAAACTTCTTCAACTATTTGACAAGGTGCATTCCCACTAACTGTATGGGACTCTTGAACATGTTGACCTTCATTCTCATAATGTTCGTCAAGTACATCCTCGGTATGATATTCATCCTCCTCCCCATTGTCATACTCATTCCCATCATCGTCCTCAACCCCATCCTCGGTACGATATTCGTCATAATCATACTCATCATCACTCTGAAATTCGTACTCAACCTCGTTCTCATACAGTTGACCATAATATGGAGATTTGTCGTCGTCTAGGTTACATGGGATAACGTTATCGGCCAATGGTGTAATCTGTCGGACAAATGAGGGGAGATCGACATCATCCAGAGGAGAGTCAACAGAAATAGAACGACCGAAACATGGATCATTCTGCCCTGGGTAGTATGGGAATGAAGACGATGTATGGGTTTCGAAAAAATTATTTCCTCTCCTGCTCCCACTACCATATGATGCTTTAGGTACGACGGTTA